TTTTAACTTCTATACAGGCCTATCCTTTTCCATAATTATTTTAAAATTAATAGAATTATGATCACGAGTCCCAAGGTGCTGTCCCACTAACACTTCAGTCATTTGCCCTATCTAAATTCCCAAGTTTTGTTCCTTCTCTGGTAATCTTGTCAAAGGTGTAATATTATACAGAATACTGGTTGCTAAACTGACATTCAAAAATACATTGTAATCCAACTTCCCACATAGTCCTTGATCTCTGAAGCTTTTAGCACATTGAGCACACTTTCCTTCTCTCCTCCAGTGTTTGGAACAGTGGGACTTCCCACACTCAGTTCCACTTGTAACTCTGATTGTAGCAATAACATTTCCAGAAATAAATACTGTTCTGGCCATTGCATTGCTAATGTAGGGTCAACTTCCAAATATGTGCTGGTACTATGGTGCAAAGTTTATGATCCACTTGCTCAAATGGTTCTTGCCTCAGCTCATAATCTACTTTTTTCACTCTAAATAAGCTATTCCAATGGTCTCTTGGCAGATCTTCCATCTTGAACCTTCTGAAAACTTCAGCTTATCCCAAAACTATACTCACTGCATCTTATATTGCACCAACCCCTCCCATCTATCGAAATGGAATATATTTTAAACAGATCTAGCAACTCAAATCGAGATATCAGTGAGGTGCTGTGGGCCATCATCAGCAACAAAACTGTAATCAACAACAATCAGTAACCTTTGTTCAAGAAGCTTGTAGGAAGGCACACTGAGAGCAGCACCAGGCATACCTTAAACTGAGATGTCAACCTGGTGAAGCTACAACACAGGACTACTTGGATGCTGAACTCCATAAGCAGCATGCGACAGACAGTTAAATGACCCCACAACTAACGGTTAAGATCTAAGCTCTGCCGTTCTGACATATCTAGCTGTGAATGGTGGTGGACAATTAAACAACTCAGTGGATAAGGAGGCTTCACATTTATTCCTTTCCTCAAAAATGCCCAGCACATCTATTCAAAAGGCATGGTTGAAGCATTTAAACCTATCTTCAGACAGACATCCCATCTTGGCCTTTTCCTCAGGTTCCCAGCATCAGCCTGATTAACTCTGTGTAATATCAAGAACAGCTGGTGGTGTTGAATACTGTAAATATTGTGATTTTTGTCAACATGCTAGTAGTAGTATAGAAGATTAGTGATCCAGAATTAGCTACAGCCCTTGTCAAACTCTTCTAGCACAGTTATAATACTGGCATCTGTATAACAATGTGGAAAATTTCCTAAGTGTGTCATGTCTACATAACGCAGGAGGAATAGAGCCTGGTCAGTGACTGGCATTTTATTCTTTCTTCATGTAGGATCAAAAAATGGATTAATGTGCCAATCTATTTATTTTACTCTGTGTTCGTGAGATATGGTCTACTATGTCTTGATGTAGTGCTTGTGGATTTACTACTTGTTTGCCTTTGAAAATTGTATTCCAATAGAATCCAAGTTTAACCTCTGACAGAAAGGACAACTCGGGCACCTCCGGACATATTCCAGCTACCTGGTGATAGTCTGTGCGAGCTGTTTGCAGCTGGTCATTCTCTGGCATAGCTCACTGAATCTGCTGTGCTTGGCTGTTACCAAAATGAATAAGATCAATGTTAAAACTATCTTCAAACTTGAATTCAATAACATTGATCTGTAGGTCTGAAGGAATAACGTGGTTCTTAGCGGGGTTCAGAAGTTTACTGAGAGCATTAGTAATAGTTATTAGGGAGCCTGGTTTGTATTGTCCTTCAACATCATACCCTTGCATCATCACAAGTTGCCATTGTAGTCATGGAGGTGCACTTGAGAAGTTTTCAGCAGATCATTTCCAATGGTTTGTGCTTGGTATGAAACAATTAAATTTTTGCCGAATTGGTATGAAACCTGGAAATCTGGAAAATAGAGCAAAGAATTTCTCTTTCAAATGTTGAAGTAATTTTCCTAAGCTATCTCTAAGCTGTCATAAGGACCAAACACAATAGACTTGCTGTCCTGTAATAGTTATGCTTCAAGGCTTTTCTGGGATGCATCTAACTTCCAATGCTGTAAGCTTTGAGGGATCATACTATTGAAAAATACATTGGCTGGATGATGACGCATTTTTGAGAGATTGGAAGATGTTATTGCCACATGTATGGCTATAGCCATAGAGTCATACAGCACAGAAGAGGTCCTTCAGCCCATCACGTCTGCGCTGACCTATCTACACTAATCCCAATTTCCAGCTCTTGGCCCATAGCCTTGAATGTTATGACATTTCAAGTGCTTATCCACGTACCTTTTTAAAGGTATTGAAGTTTTCCGCCTCTATTTTGCTCCCAGTAGGTGCATTCCAGACTCCTGTCATCCTTTGGATGAAATTTTTTTTCTCAAATCCCCTCTAAACCTCCTGCCCTTCACCTTAAAATTATGTCCCCCTTGTTTTTGACCCTTCCATTTAGCTACTTTGTATCCACCCTGTCCATGCCCCAAATAATCTTATACATCTCAATCAAGCCTTTTCTGCTCTAAAGAAAACAACACAAGCCTATCCAGCCTCTCTTCATTGCTAAATTGCTCCAACCCAACAACATCCTGGCAAATCTCCTCTGCACTTTCTCCAGTGCAATCACATCCTTCCTATAGTATGGCGATCAGAACTACATTCAGTATTCCAATTATAGCCTATACAAAATTTTGTGCTACTCCATTATAGCCTTCTTGCTCTTATAATCTGTGCTGTGACTGGTTAAAGGCTGTGTCCTATATGCTACCTTAACTACCCTATTGACCTCTCATGCTGCCTTCGGGGATCTGTGGACAAGCACCCTAAAATTTCTCTGAGTTTCCTAATGTCCTGCCATGCATTGAGTATTGTCTTGTTACTTCTTCCAAAGTGCATCACTTCTCACTTATCAGGTTTAAATTCTGTCCACCACTTGATCCACCCATCTGACCAACTTTTGTATATCTTCCTGTAACCTTAGACCTTCTTCCTCACTATTAACCACCCATTCAGTCTTCATGTTCTTGACATATGTACTTACCAACCCCGTCACGTTCTCAGCTATATCATGTGTATATATAACGTGAATAATAAGGGACACAGAAACAAAAACAGAAATTGCTGGAAAAGCTCAGCTGGTCTGGCGGCATCTGTGGAAAGAAATTAGAGTTAACGTTTTGGGTGGAGTGACCCTTCCTCAGAACTGATTGTAGCTAGAAAAATGTCGGTTTATAAGCAGAGGATAAGATGGGGGCAGGGAGTAAAGACTAAATGATAGGTGGGGATAGAGCCCAAAGTAAGAGAGGGGAACAGTTGGACAGTCAAAGGAGTGGGTAACGATCTGCCTATGAGGGTGAATAGCTATTAATGGGGGACTGTATTGGCCACTAATATTCACTGGAAGGTGTTATTGTTTGTCATGTATGGAACGCAGATGCTCTACGCTCTGTATGCGACAAACGACAACACCTTCCGGTCGCGAACCATTTTAACGCCACCCTCCCACCCACTGAGTGACATGTCCATCCTGAGCCTCCTCCAGTGTCACAATTACACCGTCTGCAAACTGGAGGAGCAGCACTTCATATTCCGCCTTGGGAGCCTACAGCCCGATATGCCCAAACATGGATTTCACCGTTTTCAAAATCTCCCATCCCCAGCCTCATCCCATGTCCAACCCTCCCTCTCATCCCTGCCTCCTTGACCTGACACAACTTGTCCATCTTCTCTCGTACCTATCCGTCCCTCCCATCCTACTGACCAATCCCCACCACTCTCAACCTGCACTCATCTATCACCATCCCACCTACCTGCCCCAGCCCCACCCCTCCTCTCTTTATTTCTGAGCTCCCTTGCCCCTTCCCATTTCTGAAGAAGGGTCTCGACCCAAAACGTCAACTATCCTGCTCATCTGATGCAGCCTGGCCTGCTGTGTTCCTCCAGCTCCACACTGTGTTATTCTGACTCCAGTGTCTGCAGTTCTTGCTACCCCATTTGCTGAGATGATCCTTGTGCTGACCAGAATACTGCTTCTCAAATTCCCTTCTCCAAGTACTTTTAGTTATCTGCAAGAGGCATAGGGTGACTGGTTCCAACTTTTATAGAGGTCTTTAACTTACCAATCAAAAGTCACAGCTTGTAGCAACTGGAAATAAATTGGCTATCTTCAGACTTGAGATGCATTTTACTGCAGAGAAAAGAGCTCCTGCCTTTGAAAAAATCCAAATGTTTCCCCAAGCATTTACAGCCGCAAGCTCTTCAGCTACTTGGGAGCTAATTGCACAGTTGTTGGGAGGCAGAGTCTTTGTCATTGGTAACTGGTCACTAGTCCGCAGACTAATCAGCCACTTTGTTGCCCGCTGAAGCTCTATTTGTACAAACCCCTTGGTTCCAGCTTGTCTGCAAACCAGACTTTTACTACTGCTTGAACAAGTAACTGTGTAAATAGTATTTATAACGAGTGTCATGTTACCTCAAACACGTGCAGCAATCTTTCAACAACCCATGGTTTTTAAAACTGTTCCTTTTCCTATTTCAGTTCTCGATCAAAAATACAAAGAATGAAAAGATGCAATTTTACATCAGCATAATTTTTCTCACACTCCAAATTATCCAGCAAGAATTGCCCAATTGTAGAATTGCACCTAATGTTGAATATTGTGCAGTGAATTTTGCAAACGTTGACTCGCTTCGGTGCTAGTGTGATGCTAGGTTTGTAGGCCTTACATCTCAAAGGCTTGGAAATCATGACAACCAGCATATTCCTTTGACTGTACACAGCAAGTAATGAACTGACCATGCCCTACCAGCCCACAAAGCAAAACTGCCTCCATCAATATTATTGAAGGTTGAGATGTGGAATTTTGTGCATTTCTTTTCATGTGCAATTAGACTATTTGAACAGCAAAGGAACCAGTAATGATGTACATACGTTTGTTTTATGGCAGTAGCTGTACTACTTCTAACTATGTTGATAAATCTGTTTCTCTTCCTTTTAGGGATTAGTAAGTCAGTATTAAAGACTATGGCTAGGATGGATCTGGATAAGATCAACTTGGATCTAGTAGAAGCCCTACTAGAATGGATAGTGGATGGAAAACACAATTACCCTCCAGGTAAGTGGAGTCAGATCCAGTCTGCTGTTCATATATAGTTGCAGTTATTAAGAGATTTTGAAGTGGTCATTGACCGACATGTGCCCAATGCTTGAATCTTGCAAAGATTTGTACTGACAAGAGTTATGTTGGGATAAAGTGTGTAGAGATGTAGTTGACAGGTTTTTTTTATTTATTGACGGGATGAGGGTGTTGCTGACCAGGCAACATTTATTGCCCATCCCTAATTGCCCAGAGGGCAGTTCAGAGTCAACCACATTGCTGTGGGTCTGGAGTCACATGTAGGCCAGACCAGGTAAGGATGGCAGTTTCCTTCCCTAAAGGATATTAGTGAACCAGATGGGTTTTTCCGACAATTGGCAATAGATTCATGGTCATCATTAGATTCATAATTCCAGATATTTTATTGAATTCAATTCCTGGTGGGATTCGAACCTGGGTCCCCAGATTGTTATCTGGGTCTCTGGGTTGACAGTCCAGCAATAATACCACTAAGCCATTGCCTCCCCGTGTATACTGTTCTGCTTCAGGTGAAACCTGTTCAGTGTTTCCTGTAAAATGATTGCCATGAGCCTTTTGGTTGAACAAGAATATTTACTGAGAACAAATTGGGAGAAAAGTGAAATCAAGGCTATGAGAAAATTGAGAATGAATGAAAGAATTACATTCAAACATTTTCCTTGATCTCTGGATATAACACAACCGTTTACAACTAGTTCTTCTCGAGAAAGCCTGTCTGTAAAGGATACAACTGGAGCCAAGCTTTATATGCTTTTATATTGATTTACAGAGTTAAGCACTAGAAATATACACCTCTTAACCCAACAACTACTGCTTTTTAGTTGTGTCTTTTATTGGGCTCAAGTGAATTCCAATCAATTGCCACCACCCGTATACAATTAATATATAATGGACATTCTTTTCTCTTTAAATAAAAATTAGAGTTAATATGCAGAACTGAAATTTCAAAACAAATTAAATCAAAAATATCATCTTGTATGAGCTTTGTTTGTGGGTGCCCCGCTTCCAAGTCCCCTAACAATTTATTTATATATTCATTTATTTTTGTAAAACAGACAATTGACTCTTGCACTGCCTCTACAGAAACTAGTCTTCCAAAGTGTTTGTGGCAGCTTTTTGAAATTTTCCTAGCTTCCAAAACGAATGGACAATATTTCCCATTTTCAAGCATAAAAAGTATTATGAAAGCTGCTACAATTGAGTACCCATCTGTTACGTGGAATGTGGAATATTACTAAAAATGACTAGTTTGATGTTCTGTATGCCATGTAAAGATCGGATGACTTAAAATATGTTTCTCCAGCTATAATATTTTGTTTTCTGTTACCGTACTCTGAAATTTTTTTTGTGGTAGTAGTTAACTCCAATAGATCAAAACGAGCATCTAGACTGGGATAATGTGAGTGTAAAGGCAGAGAGGAACAATAATTCTAGAGTAGACCTAGGTGTCACAGGTTTAAGGTAAAATGGGGTAGGTTTAAAGGAGATGTGAGAGGTCAGCTTTTTAAACAGAAGGTGGTAAGTGCTTGGAATGTACTGCCAGAGGTGGTTGTGGAAACTGATACAATTGACAGACACATGATTAGGCAAGGAATAGAGGGATATGGACTTGCATCCACTTACTCAGTTTCATTTCTTGTTGGGCTTGTTACATGCTGGTAAAAAGGTTCTCTTGAATGCTGTTCAAGAATGTTATGCCTTCTGGGTCTTTGATATTGCTTATATCGCAGTTGATATTGGCAAAATTAAAGTCTCCTGATGACTGCCTGTTGTTTTTGCACTCAGAAATTTGCTTACATATTTACTAAATTTTCTCCTTCCCACTATCTAGGGGTCGAAAGTACGTTTCTAGAAGAGTAGCTGCCCCTTTTGTACTCCTGATCTCAACCCATATGGCCCCATTTGATGATTAAGCTGGTATACCATCCCTCCTCACAACTGTATTTGATTCTTTAACTGATTATTCTCTGTTCTGATCTCCTCCCCAAACTGATTTAATCTCCTGTACCACTCATTGGTCCAGATCTTCTGGTCTGGAGACCAAACAAAGATATATATCAAGACCTCTTGGAAGTCCTGAAATGCTTGTTACATGGAAATTGTCTGGGAAATTGTAACTTCCAATAAACTGTTACCCAAGATTTTGGAGGATTCTGATTTATTTACCTTAAAAGTTAGTCAGGAAAAGTTAAAGGAATTAAAAGCTGTACTAACTCCTGGTTAAATACGTAAGATATATCCACCCTACCCCTGATTCATCAATAGACCCCCTTCCCATGACTCATTCACTACATTCCCCTTTCTGTTACTCCTTAAAAAATTTCATTTGGCTACTCTACCTCCTCACCTACTTGCCCCTGTACCTCCACAACCACATGTCTGCTTGCCCATCTGGCATCCTACCCTTCACTTACCTTACATGCTTGTACTCTCTCCTTAGCTGTCAAAAAGACTTCAGGACGTTTAAACATGAAATATGGCAATTATTGCTGTTAAAATGGGACATGGTTTTTGTGATGATTCACTCACTGTTGCTTGCATAGCTTGCTGGACTGCTTCTGTTATGAAGGCTCCTGCCTTGGTAATCTGGCTGGAAAACTCCTGAATGAGGGGGCAACATTTTGTCTGATTTGGGTTGGAAATAGAAATATGGATCCAGATTTAAAAAACTTCAAGCATTATTTTCTCCCCATCAAAATGACTCTACTAATTATCTTCTTTCAAGGACGAACTACTCAAATTGTGGCTTCAACTCTTACCTTTGGTGGTTTGTGTTTAGAATGTCAATCTTTAGGACAGAGTGCAGAGATTTTCTAAGAATGAAGAATTTCTGTTATATAAATTGTGGCATTGTTCTCCTCAGAGCAGAGAAGGTTAAAGAGAGATTATGTTCAAAATTCTGAAAGGTTTTCGTAAAGCAAGTAAGTAAAAATTGTTTCCACTATCACAGGAATCAGAACCCAGATTTAAGACAAATGGCAATGTGAGGTGTAGGGAGAGACTGAATAGGCTGGGGCTATTTTCCCTGGAGTGTCGCAGGCTGAGGAGTGACCTTGTAGAGGTTTATAAAATCATGAGGGGCATGGATAGGGTGAATAGTCCAGGCCTTTTCCCCAGGGTAGGGGAGTCCAAAACTAGAGGGTGTAGGTTTAAGGTGAGAGGGGAAAGATTTAAAAGGGACCTGATGGCAACTTTTTCATGGAGAGGATGGTGCATGTATGGAATGAACTGCCAGAGGAAATGGTGGAGGCTGGTACAATGACGACATCTAAAAGTCATCTGACTAGTTATCTGAATAGGAAGAGGTCTATTTCTGTGCTGTACATCTCTATGACTCTATGAACGGAGGAGAGCTGAAGGGAAAAGGTTTATAATGTCCACAAGTTATAAAGATCTGGAATGCACAGCCTGAAAGCATGGTGGAAACAGATTCACAAATAACTTCTAAAAGGGAATTAGACAAAAAATGAAAAAGAAACACTTGCAGGGCTATGGGGCAAGTTGAGGGAGTGGGATTACTCAATAATTTCTTCAAAGTGCCAGCCATTGTGTGATGGGCTCATTGGCTTTCTTCTGTGCTTTATAATTGTATGAAAAATATTGCCTAACCCTGTGTGCTACTCTAATCTTTCAATTCTCTACATCTGATAGATAAACAAGCTATCTTATTCTCTTTCCCTTTCAATGATTTTAAAATTTTACCGAAAATGACTTTAATTTTTCCGAATACAATTCCAGATCTGCTAAGTTTATACTCAGTAGGGAAGTGCTTTATCTTTCTTTTTGCCTTGCATAAGATGATTTGAAGTCATACAATGGATTGCCTGTTTTTCTTTTATTAAGGAAGCTGCATAAAAAATATTCAAATTTAGAAACATGAGCAGTTACGAAGGTAAAGCAGAGAATAACACGAGTCATGTTTTCATGTCTTTCTTGCTATTTTAATTTTAATTCAATTTTATTCCAATAGGTGCTGTTTTAATATTTTTGCCTGGCCTGGCAGAAATCAAGTTACTATACGAACAACTTCAGTCTAACCCTTTTTTCAACAACAGGCGTGACAAAAGGTTTGTAATTCAAAGAAGTAAAGAGAATTCATTACTTGGGAAATTGAATGCTCTACCTCATTGATGCCAAAGTTATCAAGAGGAATCCACAAGGATTCACTAAAATGAACCCAAGGATACAGGGCTTTAGGTGCAAGGAAAGACAAGAAAAACATTGGCTTTTCTCATTAAATATTTTGATAATTGGTAATTGAGTTAGCCAAAAACCTAAGATTGTCATTGAAAGAAAAGGCCAGATAAGATTTATTAGAGTTCCATTTCAAGACTTAATGATCACATGGCCAAACAATTTGATCATCAAACTGAAAATCTGGCTGTGGCA